AGAACTTGCCCCCCGTGAGGGCCAGGTTCTAAGGAGGAGGGTATATAACAGGGGGGCTTGGCCTGTGGGCTATAAAGCCTGGAGCTCGGCCAAATGGATTACAGAGTGAGCTCCACCTGAGGGGAAAAGTAGGGAAAACTGCAGCAAAGGTACAGGAGCAGGCCTAGCTGTTCGGTACAGGGCCTTGGGGCAGAACCTAGAATCCAGGGTAGGATTGGTTCTCCCATGGTCTCTAAGGAAGGGGACGTACAAGGCCATAGCAAGGGCTACCAAGGCCAGGAAGGGGAGGCCAAGCCAAAGTCAGGCTGAGGAAGAGCCCCCAAAGGGGCGGAAGATCTTGTTTCTGGACTTTCAGTTTGGGATGAGTTTTAGTTTGGGATGAGCGCGACACAGGAAGGAGTGGACTAAAGGATGGTCACCCAACTGAAGGGCTGAGTTTCCAGCCAAAAAACTGCCAGAGTGCCCTAGTGACTATCAGCAGATGTGCTAGCCCAGGAAGAAAGCTGTGACACCAGGCCTTGCCAGGAAGGGGCACCTAGAGGTGAATGAACTCTGTTACAAGCCTGCTTCCATTATGGAAACAGCCTAGTATTGGAGAGTGGTGGGGATGGCCTATGGGAGAGGATGGCTGGAGGGGTCATACAGGAGGGGCAGCAGGGTCCAGTGATGAGAGCAGGGAATGGGTTATACTGCAGCCCTGCCACTGAGTGGTAACGTGATCCTGGCCAGGTCACTCTCCCACCTGGGTGCTCACTTTCTCTGTGTTTGAAATGGGGATCATCCCAACCCACATGAAGAAAGCGTTTGATCCTCTGCTCTTGCTTCCCAAATCCCTGCCCTCCTTGCCCCACACAGGCCTCTGCCCTGTTCCTCAAACTTCCATGCCCATGTTCGTGCCTGTGTTGCCCCACAACTGCAAGGTCTCATGTACAGTCTCCTGATAGCAAACTGAAGCCGTCCCTAGATCCAGAATAGGAATCATAGTTCCTGTGCGCTGCCCTGCATGGGGTATAGGGAAGGCCAACAATAGGGCATGGGGAAGGCCAACACTCACATCCAGGTAGATCATCAACCTACTCCTCTGTCCCAGGAGCAGGAACAGTTCTTGCTCTATTCCGTAGCTGGAGCTGCTGAGTTGGGGGTGCGGTGGGCAGAGATGGGAACAGGCCAGAGGACTAATCAAGTGTCAGGAGGAGACTCCCCCTGTGTGGGAGATGATGTTGTCCCTCTGTGGGGAATCCCTTCCTTGCAGATGCTATGCTTTGGTTCCTGGACTCTGCCAAGAAGCCCAGCTCCCATCCCTAGCAGCTTGGCTGTTCCCTACCCCATTGTGCACCAAGCCCTTTGCAGAGAACTGCTCTGGGTAAGGACTGCAGAGCCAGCTGTCATCCTGGCGGGTGTAGCTCCAGGTTCCATAGCCCTGACCCATGGCCTCCCTCTGCTGACAGGCTCTGAAGAAGGCCTGCCCAGAGACATGGATGCCATGCTGAAGAGCCTGCTGACAGCAACCCCCAGCACAGACAAACTCCAGCACATCTTGGTGGTAATGGGCGGGGGCAGCAGGAATTTTACCTTAGCCCTGGGGAGGCCTGGAAATGAGAGACTGGATGATCCACGTTTCCATTGTGTCTTGCTACCTGAGAGCCATTGGGCCACCCATGGTCAGAGCAGTCAGTGCAGAGCAGTGTTGGGGCCTTCCTCCTTCAGTGACAGAGGGAAGACGCTGGTGCTCAACAACAGGGCTCTGCCTGGTTCTATTGAGCGCTAACTCCAAGGCCCCAGGCAGGCTTGTGGAGTGAGAGCATCAGACCCCTGAGGAGAGGGTCCTCAGAGAAGAGCACTGGTTCCTTCCTAGGAAGCTGCTGAGATTCTCACAGAGGGATTCATCCCTTCTGTCCCATGGACAGACACAGAGGATTGTAAGGAGCAGGGCCCCAAGACCTCGAATGGATAGGGATCAATCTGCTAACTAGCACAGCCCAGCAGATGAACCGGTGGAGGGCTGGCACAGTTCACTGAATCCAAACCAGAAAGCAGGAAATGTTTCTCCTTTTGCACCTGTCTGTGACTTGTGAGAAGAAATTAGGTTAGTATGGGGGACTTCCTATTGGGAGACAGACGGGGGAGGTCTCATGTAGCCAGGAGTAAATCATCCTTGGAGATTTTGAAAAATTATAGATACTTTTCTAACACCAAGTTTTGTACCCAACTAAGGGTGACTCTATTGTGGTGGATAAAGATGAACTGATCATTGGACTGGATATTCATGGTTGCTCTGGGGCCACTGATCATAGAATATTATCAGGGTTGGAAGGGACCTCAGGAGGTCATCTAGCCAAACCCCTGCTCAAATCAGGACCAATCCCCAATTTTTGCTCCAGATCCCTAAATGGTCCCCTCAAGGATTGAACTCACAACCCTGGGTTTAAGCAGGCCAATGCTCAAACCACTGAGCTATCCCTCCCCCCAACTTGATTGTATTCAGTAAGGACCAGTAAGGAGGTTTGGGAACAAATTGAGAAATTAAACAGCAATAAGTCACCAGAACCAGATGGTATTCACCCAAGAGTTCTGAAGAAACTCAAAGGTGAAATTGCAGTGCTATTAACTAATTGTGCTATGTAACTTATCCTTTAAATCAGCTCCTATACCAGATGACTGGAGGATAGCTAATATGACACCAATATTTTAAAAAGGCTCCAGAGACGGTCCCGGCAACTACAGGCCACTAAGGCTAACTTCAGTACCAGTCAAATTGGGTGAAATTATAGTAAAGAGCAGAATTACTAGACACATAGATAAACACAATTTGTTGGGGAAGAGTGAACATGGTTTTTGTAAAGGGAAATCATGCCTCATGAATTTACTAGAATTCTTTGAGGGAGTCAACAAGCATGTGGATAAAGGTGATCCAGTGGATATAGTGTACTTAGATTTTCAGAAAGCCTTTGACAAGGTCCCTCACAAAAGCCTCTGAAGCAAAATGGGATAAGATGGAAGGTCCTCTCTGGAATAGGGAACTGGTTAAAAGGCAAGAAAGAAAGGGTCTGACTAAATGGTCAGTTTTCAGAATGGAGAGAGGTAAATAGTGGTGTCCCCCAGGGTTCTGTACTGGGACCACTACTGTTCAACATACTCCTAAGTGATCTGGAAAAAGGGGTAAACAGTGAGGTGGCAACATTTGCAGAAGATACAAACCAACTCAAGTTAGTTAAGTCCAAAAGAGAGTGCAAAGTGTGACAAAGGAATCTCGCCAAACTGGGTGACATTCAATGTTGATAAATGCAAAGTAATGCACATTGGAAAACATGATCCCAACTCTACATCTAAAAGGATGGGGTCTAAATTAGCTCTTACAACTTAAGAAAGAGATCTTGGAGTCATTGTGGATAGTTCTCTGAAAACATCCACTCAGTGTGCATTGGCAGTCAAAAATGTGAACAGAATGTTGGGAAATCATTAGGAAAGGGATAGATAATAAGACAGAAATGTAATATTGCCTCTCTATAAATCCATGTGTAGTGGGGCAGCTGCCCCACTCCCGCAGAACAGGGGATAAAAGCAGTTCTGGAGAGGGCTGTGGTTTGGAAAAGGAATGAAAGCAGCTGAGGGAGTAGCTGACCACAAATGTGGCCAGCCCAATTAGGCCACAGCTGGCCCTATTAAGGGGCTGTGAGCTAGGAGCTGAGGGAGTCTCACTCTAGCTCTCGAGTAGGAAGGGCTAGCTACTGGAGAGTAAGGTACCTGAAGTAGATCAGTGTTGGGGTAGGGTAAGAGGAGCTTCAGCCTGGTAAAACCCCAGGTTGTAGGCCTTGGGGAAGGGGTACAGAGGTGCAGTCTGGGAATAGGCAGAGGCAGCTGGTCCTAACCCCCTTGCCAATGATGAGTAGCCATTGCAGACTGCAGTCTGACCAAGTGAGTGGGAGCTAGCTGATGACTGGCAGTAGCCACTGAGGCAAGGTGGGTTTAGAGAGTTGTGGGTTCCCCTGGGAGGGGAGACCCAAAGTGTGGGGGTACTGCTGGGGCAGAACCCCAAGGTAAAGGGCACTGGGGTCTGGGAGGGGACATGGGGCCAGCGGCAGGTGAGACACTGGCCTGCAGAGGGCGCTCCATATTTTAGAAAAGAGCTAAGTCCCCGATGACCAGCAGGAAGCGCTGTGCTGGTGAGTCGTTGCTTTGCTACACCATGGTATGCCCACATCTTGAATGCTGGTGCTGGTCTCCCCATCTCAAAAAGATGGTATTGTAACTAGGTTGCATCCAGTTAGTGTCCTGGCAAAATCCCATAGACCAGACAATTCTGGTGCTTGTATTTTGCCTGTTACTGATGTGTTGCTGGCAAAGGGTGTAGTATCCCTGTCTGATCAGGGTGATACCCTAGCTGGGGCACAAGGAGAGCATAAAGGTGATTTGATTGTATTACCTACGGACTGTTTGAAAACTTGTAGCAAGAGGGAAAAGACTTCTGAACTTGTGTGTGGCAAAGGGAAGGAGAATGCTTTTGACTATGAAATATAACCGTTTGCCTGAAAGGGGATTGTGTAGGAATCTGCCTGATGAGCCAAAGGTGATTCTGGATGTAAGTGCAACTCTGGAGTTAGTAGTGGCTCAGCAGAGCAATGCTTCTGAGCAATGCGGCCTCTGGCAGGACGCTACTGAGAGTATCCATTCAGGACAAATTGCTTGGAGAAGGGCAGTCACAGCCCAAGGCTGGATGTCCTTTACTATTAAGGCATGCCAAACAGAGAGGACTTTGGTTTTACCCCACTGGCTAACCAGAAGTCATACAAGCAATTCCCTCAGATACTCCAGTTCCCTTGCATCACCACCAGCACCACTCCTTATGGGGATGAATGGTTATGAAAACCAATACCCCAGTAAAAGAGAGGTTCTCCCAATCCCCAAGGACCAAGCCCCAGACCCAGGTCAACAGCCAAGTCCGCTCTTACTCACAAATCCCAGTGTTGCCAGTCCTTTAAAATCTAAAAGCTAAAGGTTTATTCATTTAAAAAAAGAAATTTTAGATGAGTTAAAATTGTTAAAGGAATCAATTACATACAGCAGTGGCAAAGTTCTTGGTTCAGGCTTGTAGCAGTGATGGAATAAACTGCAGGCCCAAATCAAGTCTCTGGAGTACATCCACAGATCTGGATGGGTCATTCAGGCCATTGTTCAGAGCTTCAGTTTGTAGCAAAGTTCCTCCAGAGACAAGAATCAGGATTGAAGACAAAATGGAGGGGTTTCCAGGGCCTCTTATAGCCTCTGCCATGTGGCAGGACCCCTTTGTTCTTACTGTGGAAAATCACAGCAGCAAGGTGGAGTTTAGAGTCACATGGGAAGTCACGTGTCCATGCATGACTCAGCTCTTTACAGGGAGAGCAGCCGTTGTTCACAGGAAGGCTTCTCGTATGTGGATTGGAGTCTCCCAAGGTCCTTTGTCAGTTAAGTGTTTCTTGATTCAGCACTTAATCTGAAAATTCCTTCCTCAAGAAGAGGACTAAATGCTTCACCAATGCTACTTAGAATCAAACACATTGAGATACAAGTACGTAGCCAATACTCATAACTTCAAATACAAAAATGATACACACATACAGACTGCATAATCATAACCAGCAAATTATAACCTTTTCATAGACACTTCACTTGACCTCCTTTGTACAAGATTTGGTGCAACTATAGGACCCTGGTTGCAACAATGATCTATACGGTAGCAGTTCATGTCAATAATGTCACAACCCCGCACTTGTAACGCCGACAGACCCCGGTCCTCAGCAGGCAAGATCGAACCTGGGACCTCTGGAGTTTAGTGCATGAGCCTCTACAGCCTGAGCTAAAAGCCAACTGGCTATTAGTTAAGGTTAGAGAGCAGACTCATTTAACGCTCTCTAAGTGGTCTCAGTATCTCCAGGCGTGGTCCAACATTGCGAGGGAAACTTGTGCTCGCCTTACAGTATAACCTTTTTTTTTACCCACTGATCTTACCAGCCATGTCGTCGTTGTCCTCCGCCACTGGAAAAAAATTAGGGTGCACAGAATACAATGAGCAAAGGGACCATATATATTGAACCATTGGTGCCAACTCCGTGAGTGCTCTGGGGCTCATGCACCCACGAGCCACAGTGGTTCCGCAGCCCTGGGGCTGGCTGCTGATCAGCTGTTGGGCAGCGAGTAGCTGGCAGGAGGCACTCGAGGTGGAGAGAAGCGAGCAGCAGGTGCGTGGCGGGGAGGGAATGGGGTGGGAAGAGGCGGAGCGAGGGTAGGGCTTCAGAGGCCGGGGCAGAAAGGGGCAGGAAAAGGCAGAGTGAGGGTGGAGCACCCACAGGGAAAAGAGAAGTCAGCCCCTGAGCATTTAACCACGTAGCGGGTTTCTGCGGAACGCCAGTTTTGTGCTTTCCTGACTGCACATGGGAGAATGTCCCAATAGCAAAGCCCCACTGGGATGGCTCTGGGATGTTATGTTTTCTCCAAGCTTGTGATCATGAACTTCAGCAAATTAAGAATGTTCGCTGTTCAGCGGAGGTAAGCAGCCCAGCTCCATTGACTGTAGCAGAAACTCCCTGATTATTAGCCGCTGCGGAGGATCCAACCCTAGGATTCTAATGATTGCTTTTTGGCTACATCGGATAGCTGGGGTATGTGTGTGTCAGATTCCACCAAGAACCAACAGTCACCTAAGCACAGCGACCCTGCAGAAACCAGCTACCACCTCCCCCCCACCGGGGAGGGGGTCACACCAGCCCAGCGTGTGAGCAGTGGTTGGCCAGAAAGCGGTGCAATCCAGCAGGCTGGGGGAGACACTAACTCGGCAGTCGTCACAATAGGCTCCAAGGGCAGGAGGCTCCCTAGAGCTATCCCTTGGAGAAGTTAAGGTGGCCTCTAGAGCAGGAGCCCAAAGGAAGGGCATGTACCACCACTTGCCCTTCCTTGGAGCACACCCCGCCTCAAAGGCAGAGGGTTCAGCTAATGAAGCGATGCATAACTTATAGCTCCTTGAGCCATCCTGGATGAACCTGGACAGTAACCCAGGCTGACTCCCTGGGAACATGGGCTTCATCGAAAGGAAGTGGAGAACAGATGTTTTTAATGAAGGGCAACGTGGGGTAGCTGGACTGATGGGAATAGAGATGTGCATGCCGGGGAGGGATGATTTACAGGTAGGCAAACGTATTACAAAAGTTGAATTGACATTCAGCACACACCATCACTTTACTTGCATGTTGCAGCCATTTTGCCCATTCTTCATCTCAAGCTCCATAAGGCAGGGAACGTATTATTTTATGACACTCTCATAATCTTCCCGTCTGTGTTCGGTTTCTGTAGCCATTGCTTCATGGCACCTGATTGGAACAGGACAGAGCATTGCCCCACTGACAGACTGGACTGGTTTGGGTCTGTCCTGGTTTACAAGCTATTAACCATTCAACCATGTGGTCTCAATGGATCTGGTAATGCAAGCCTGACGACCCTTAGCTAGATTGGCTCATTACTCTTTTGCAGAGGAGGAGAATGTTTGGGAAAGGACCCCATGCTTGGGACAAGATGAATGGTTTACTGGAAACCATAAATAATACTTAGCTTTTATATACCACTTTTCATCCATAGAGCGCAAAGCAGTTTTTAAAGGAGGTCAGATCATCTCCATTTTGCAGGTGGGTAAACTGAGGGACAGTGATTTGCCCAAGGTCAGACAGCTGACCAGTATGACATCTGTTAATATCCAGTATCAGATCAATGCAATACACCCAGGCCAATGGGTGATCTGCTGTTTGCCAGTTATAGCCATTTTTACAAGTGCTGTCAAATGTAACATGTCCGGGTCACGCCCTTGGAGTGAAGGCAGACCCTTCATTCACCTCACCCATTATTTCCTGGGCAACATTAGCTCTGTGGCCCAGTCCTGGGGTGTGGCCCTCAAGCTGTACATTTTAGCAAGCCCAGCTCCAGTGGGTGGGTGTAGGGTGTAAGACAGTCCAAACCAAAAGGAACATGGTGCCAAAGCCCACTCAGGGTAGGGTACCTCCCGCCCCTCACACAAACGAGGAGAAGCAAGCTTTCAGCCTCTACAGGGAATATCAGCTCCCAGCCTCCTGGGTGGGTGAAGGACAAGAATTGCACCCGGAGATTTCACCAAAAGAAATAAGCCAGCCTATCTTCTTTCCTCAGAGGACCCAGGCTGGCAGCACTCCCACCCTGATCCTGGTCTTGGGGCAGGAGCTCTCCTCGGCTCAGGGCACCACCTCAACCACTGAGCATCCCACCCTTGGGGCCTTCCCCCAAGCCTAAGAAGGCACACAGGTGCAGCAGGTTGGGTCTGATTGTGACCACAGGAGTTCTTTAACCTCTTCTTGCCCCTCATCCGATGTATTCTAACCTTTGAACAGGAACTGGCTGCTTTTGGAGAACGCCTCCCTTTTATATTGCAAGCCAACTGTTCAACATTTGGGATAAAAGTGTTCTGAGGACGACGGGTTGTCCCTTTTCCTCTCTGCCCTGGGGAATGCCTTGGCCATCCTTGCCCTTTATATATGGGGTTTCAGCACTAGCCCTATCATGCTATCCAGCCCTCTCCCTCTACTGAGGCGTGTGCTGCAGAAGGCCCAGCATATAGTTTGAGCATCAGTGTAAATGATGTGAAGTATCCGCTGGGCTGCTGACTGCTCCGGGCTTGTGTCTTGCCCATTGAGATGTGACCTTGATGTGCGACTTTGTCGCTTTTTTGCTCTGCTTCTGGGCAAATTTGGGGTCGTGTCAGGGTCCCAGCTGGAAAATCTGGTAAAAAGCTGTGAAATACACAGCCCTCTTCTCCCTCATTACTATAAGAGAATGTTTACTATGGGAACCAGGAACGGGATTTTGACTAGATCTGGGTTTGGGATGTGTGCACAACTACTGACTCTGCTGGCCCTTTAAAATAGTTCCAGTCTTGTAGAAGATATTATTGACAGGAATTCTGTTATTCAAGGTATCGCACATGGACATCACCAGAGGACCATTTAAGCCCATTGGTTGTAAGAGACATGGCTAACTCAATATCATCCCCTGGTCTTCTACTTTCCTGTCAGTGCCAGTCAACAGCAAGCTTTAAAAAAAATGCCTTTTTAAAAAAACTGCTAGACAAGATTGATTTCTTTGACAACCATGGTATTTGCAGTCATCCGCACGTATTTAGTACTTGCCCAGCAGCTGTCAGCCTCTGATTTGTGATCCTATCTTTCCAGTGCTCCCCGGTAATTGAGTACGCTCCAGTTCATCTGTCCCTGCAGGTACAGATTTATTCATTCTGGTTTTAAAATAACTCAGAAGTGACCTGGAGACGTCCGCATCAAGGTCTGCGTTTGTGAAGAGTGGTGAACTTTGGAGAGGTGTTGTTAATTTGGGGGGGTAAGGCTAGGAGCTACGGAGTCTAGGGCTGGGTGGAGAAAGGTAATTTGCTTTCCTGAAGGATTTCAATATTTTGAAATTTGCTTTTGTTCCAAACTGGAACAAAATCTCCAACATTTGGCACAAAAAGGAATGGAGCCCCGGGCAGTCCATCAGGCAGCCTGCCCCAGAGCCATAGACCCAGTGCTTAATTTGTAATGAAAGAGGTGCCAGGGCTCAAGCAATATTTTTACTTTCATAACTGAGGCGGTGAGCCCACAGGTGCTGGGGCTATGAACTGCCAAGCCTACAGGTGCCAGGGCTCCACCTTCGCAAGCCCTGGTACAAATTAAGCCCTGCATGGACCCTGGAAGTCTGGACTGCCAAAGAAGCCGATAGCCCAGAAGCCAGCCAGCAACCTGCTGAACAAGGTCTGTGGCTACAGAACAGCCCAGCAGGTAGACTGCCCCAGCGCCAAGCTCAATTCCCTTCCATGTTAATTTTTGGTTTTCATTCCAAATTGGAATTTCAACTCTTATTAAACCCTGATGGAACTAAAAGATCTCTCTGAAAATGGACTGAAAAAACAGAATTAAAACTGTAGCTTTAAAGTTGTGCTGAGAATTTCCAGCCAAAAGACAAAACCAATATAACCACAGCATAGGAGAATTACAACTCTGCATACCGCACAAACAGGTAGCATCTTCAGCTCATCAGTATGCAATCAAGATCACCCCATGAAACAATGAAAGGTGACAGCAGCTGATACTTAAATCCAGCCAAGCCCTGGAAAGAGGTGTGTCTTCCACCTTTAGAGACACTGTGGAAAAAGAATACAAATTCCTCTGATCCGAGACATTCACTCTCTTACCCATCTGCATTCTCATGTTTATATTTTCTCATTTACTTGTACACTTAAGCTCTTATGCTTACTTATTGATTTTTCAATTCAGCCAGCGTACTGAAAAACCAGGGAACATATTTGGTTTGGCTCTGATAATTGTCAAACTGGAAAAGCCTGTTTCAGGCCGGCAAACTCATGAATGTGCCTGTCACATGGGAGACCTCGGTTTGAGTAGGCCACGCTCTGGAGCAGGGACTTGGCACTCAGATCCCCTGTACAAGCAGCCCCGCCATATGCTATTCTGGTGGGTTGCTCTTAATCTCTCCTTTTTGAAGTGGTTTTGCTTTCTCTAAGCTACTTGAACATTCATTCGGCCAGAGAGCACATGAATGACTCAATTAAAGCACTCACCTGGGAGGGAAGTAAGGTGGCTTCAACTCCCTCTTCTGAATCATTACTCAACAGACGAGTCCTATATCCACAATGCAGGCTTCCAGACTCTGCTCCCAATCACACCCTGTTGTAAGTTGAACAGGAAAGGAGTTTACTGTGCAATGCTTTATGAGTTACCGGAAAATGCTGGGTTACCAGAATCACTGGCAATTTGGTCTAGAGTAGTGGTTCTCAAACTATGGGTCATGACCCCATTTTAATAGAGTTGCCAGGGCTGGTATTTAGACTTGCTGGGACTGGGGCCAAAGCCTGAGGGCTTCAGCCCTGGGTAGTGGGGCTCAGGTTACAGGCCCCCTGCCTGGGCCTGAAGCCCTTGGGCTTCGGCTGTGCACTCCCTCTTTACACCCCCCTCCCCAGAGCAGCGGGTCTCTGGGAGGCTCAGGTTTTAGTCCCCCCTTCCTGGGGTGGTGTAGTAATTTTTGTTGTCAGAAGGGGGTCATGGAGCAATGAAGTTTGAGAACCCCTGGGCTAGAGACCACAGTGTTTTACTTCCAATTTTGCCTTTAAAAAAACTCACACCGTTTACTACAAATAAAACCAAGCTGAAATTTGACATCAGTGCTTTCATAACACCACAGCTACATAATGAAACTCATGAGGAAGACCTTAGTTTGCTGTTCATTTCTAGAGGGAAAATAAAGACGGACCTGGCAGTTAATGGTTTGCATGTCCATAATTCAAACTGACCTTGTGATGCTCTTACACCTTTCCCCATAGCTGAATGGATAGCATTCCATCTCCTGCTCTGATTAGAGTGTGGACCATAAACCCATTCAATTGCACTGGAAACCAAATCAGAGAATCATATTACTTAAGGCGCCAGTCCAAAACTAAGAGTGACCCATGGTTTTGTTCCTCGTGTGGCTGTGTAGCAGACAACAATGGCCTGTTGAAAGCCTGTTTGCATCATTAGATGAAGGCATATCACAATTCCAGGGCTAGGCTGTGTCTTGGACCTCATGTTCGCATAAGGAGTAAGGGAGAGTATGAACTCCCCCTGCATTCCTGCACCAGCTACCCAGACTTTGGGTCCAGGCATGTAGGAGGAAGCCATGAGCCCATTTTCTCCCGCCCTGCCCTGCAGCCAGAGTATTTGGGTTGCAAGTGGTGTGGAATGGGAGGAGCAGCTTTGGGTTCATACCCTCTGCCTGCTGACCAGCAGAACTGATGAGCTGTAATTGGGGCTGTAATTAGGGCTGACTGGAAAACGAAAAATTGTGAGGTTTGGGAATTTGTTTGTGTTACTGGAGTGAACCTGAGCCCTTCTAAAATTTAAAACAGGGGAACGAGACCTAGCCCATTATAGCCAATAGCCAGAGGTGAAAGTAAGCTGGTTCTGTCATACCCCAGGCCAGTGATTTAAAGGGCGCGGAGCTCCCCGCAGCGGCCGGAGCCCGGGGCCCTTTAAATCGCCACCCAAACCCCGCAGCTGGAGCCCCCGGGGTAGCGGCAGCGGCCGGGGGCTCCGGAGGTGATTTAAAGGACCCAGGGCTCTGCTCCCCCTGGGCCCGGGGCTCCCAGCCACCTCCGCAGCTGGTAGCTCCGGCGGTGATTTAAAGGGCCTGGGGCTCCCAGCCGCCACTGCCGGAGCCCCAAACCCTTTAAATTTCGCAGTAAAGGGCCCGGGGATTTAAAGTCTCCGCCTCTTCCGATTGAGGCCATGCCCCTTCCGGTTGAGGGCCCCCCCCCAACCCCCGCTCAGGACAGCAGTGTACTGGTAAGTCCTTTAAGTTACTTTCACCCCTGCCAATATCTCAGCGGTTAGGGCACTCTCCAGGCGCGTGAGATACTGAGGTTCAAGATCTGCTCTGAATCAGAGAGCCCTAGCTGTCTCTCTTGTTCTGGCCCAATGCTTACATAAAGTAGAACAGCTCTGAAAGGAAAGCTTGAGAGAGCCCCTGTCCCAGATCAGTCAACAGTCTAATAGCTATGGCACAGAGCTGGGAGGTATGGGTTCAAATCCTTGCTCCCAATGAGGCAGAAAAGGGACTTGAAACAGGGTCCTCCACATCCCAGGTGAGCACCCTGAATAACGTGCTATTGGCTACTCCAGGCTGCCACTCTCTCACCAGAAACTCCACCTTGAGAAATCTTCCCAACACAACCAATCACAGGCACCAGCTTCCTGCAGGCCCTGGGGGTGCTCAACCCCCCCCACTCCACCCCAGGCTCTGCCCCACCCCTTCTCCCAAGCCCCCGCTTCCACCCTGCCTCTTCCTGCCCAGCTCCACCCCTTCCCCCGAGTACGCCCTGTCTCCGCTCCTGCCCTGCGCCTGCTGCAGAACAGCTAATTGCAGTGGGTGGGAGGCGCTGGGATGGAGGGGGAGGAGTTGATCGGTGGAGGTGCTGGATGGGAGGGAGGAGCTGGCTGCCGATGCGTACTAAGCCCCACTAACTTTTCCATGGATGCTCCCGCCCTGGAGCACCAATGGAATCAGCGCCTATGAAGCCAACATGTTTCTGCAAAAGCTTTCAACAAATGGGCATTTTCCAACAAAAAGTGTTTACTTGAAAGATTCCTGACCGCCTCTAGTTGTAATAGCTTGTGACTGGGATAAGCCAGCAGCAAATCACTGTCCCCACCCTCTGGTGCAAGGAAGAAGCAGAGGAGAGATTATGGCTCTGAGGCACTATCCTCCTGGGGCTATTCTAAGGTGCTGCTGCTTATTCGCCATCCCTTGCTCAGATCTGAAATGAAAGGTCACAGTTCGGGCCCTGGACCATTGCTCACATGGGTAGCCCCTCTTTCTTCAACTACACTCAGCAAATTACACCACTGACCTCTGCGAGATTACTTGCATGGATATGGGTTTGCAAGATTAGGCCCATCGTCAGCATAGCAAGGTCATCCTCCTCTGAGATACATGTGAAACGGAAAAAGCCTGCAGAAAAATTATCTGTAATGCATAAGATTTCCACCTGAAGCTTCTGCCTCTGCGAGGCGAGCTAATGGCTGCCCAGCCCATTACAATCAGACGTTTGATTCAGTGAATCCCAGTCAATGTTTTGGAGAGGGATTGGTCATGGTGTTTCAGCATTAGGATGATCATATCATTCACAAGCAGATATGTTTGAGTGAGCAGTCACTGCTCATCCAGAGGGTGCTTTAGATGTTGCTGTAGAAATCTATTGTTTATTGGCGCTCTGAACCATTGATGACCTTTCAGTTACCCATATCCCATTACCTGGTGCTATATGGGCGGGATCTGAGTATATTCGTCTTCCGAGAAGAGATTTTCTGCATAACCAAAGAGACATTTGAAAAACTTCTTAAGACTGAGTTTTGCTCACACAGATAATATGGAAAGCATACTAAATATTTAAACGGCATTTACAATAACAATACCCAGTGTCAATTTAATTTCATTAGTTTGGCCAAAGAATTAATCATGGCACACAGCACAATGTGTAGGAAGATGGGGGGGGGGGAAATGTAACAGCCCTTATCATGCAATGGAACAGTGTAAGAGAAACCCTTTATTGGGTATCAAACCAAAGCTAATATCAGCTTCCTCTATCCCAGGTGTAGTGATGTGAAGCCACCCTTGAAGGGTTCCATAGGTAACAGAAGAGTGCTTGAACTTTAAACAAGACAAATGCTAAGGATGATTAAGGCACATTTTAGGATAACTTAGTCATTTCATTTACAACAAGGACTTTGGTATGCAGTAAATATGCTGCTGCTGCTGTGATCTAACCTGGCTGTATCCGCTGACTCAGCCTCTACATCTGGTTCATGTCTCTGCGTCCACAGGAAGTGAGGTACTGCATGGTGCCCTGAAGAAGCTGTGTCAACATTCAGCTTCCTGCTGAAAGAGTGCTGTTTTATCATCCTCCAACGGACAAGGCCTGTTGTCCCAATGGAGGGGAGAGCGGTTAAAGAAAGATCTGAAAATGGACCCTCCAAAGATTACATGGCTAGGGAAAGAAAAGGTGAGTACCTCGAAAATCAAGCCCAGATAAGGAATATGAATGTGTGCTTGAAGCTGGACAGTGAAACTGAGCTGTTATATACTGAAAAAAAGATTACATAATACCTCTGAGAAATCCATGGGGGAAGGCAAAGATCCGGCCCTGACTGCAGCTGGGAATAAGGGAGGTATTTTTATGTGGGCAATATTATTCATGCGTTTCCAGCCTTCAGCCCCTCTCTGTTTTTCAGACTGGTCACTTTCTTGCCCATCAAGAAGGCCTTTTTGTAAAAAGATATTCAAGTAGCAATCCTGACTTCCACCTGATTTCAGGAAGCATCACAGCTAAAGGCAGGGGTGAAAGTAACTTAAAGGACTTACCGGTACGCTGGAGTCCTGACTGGGAGCGTGGCCTCATCCAGAAGAGGTGGGGCCTCAACTTGGAAGAGACAGGGCCTTTAAATCAAGATTTAAAGGCCCCGGGGCTCCGGCTGTGGCTGCAAGCCCCAGAGCCTTTAAATCACCCCAGAGCTACCAGCTGCAGAGACGGCTGGGAGCCCTGGGGCTCAGGGGCAAATTAAAGGCGCTCAACCTTTCCAGACTACTGTACCCCTTTCAGGAGTCTGATTTGTCTCGCATACCCGCAAATCACACCTCACTTAACAACTACTTGCTTACAAAATCAGACCTAAAAATACAAAAGCGTCACAGTGCTATTACTGAAAAATATGTACCCTTGGCTGAGAACCACTGCACTAGCCTATGCTATGGAAAGAGAACTGAGGGACTAAAAGCACTGAATAGTACTTCACACTTACATAGCTCTTTACATGTTCAGTGGACTGACACTGACTTAGTCCACAGGGTGCCTCTGTGAGGCAGGTGTTACCTTTGGGTTACATACAGGGGAACAGGCCTGGTCTATACCGAATACTTAAGTCAACCTCGCTGCAGCATTCAGGGGTGTGAAAAATGTTGCACTCTGAGCCCTGTAGTAATGTTGGCCCAACCTTCAGAGTAGATGCAGCTAGGTAGACAGAAGGATTCTTCCACTCAATTAGCTACTCCCTCTTGGAGAGGGGGATTATCTACATCTATGGGAAAACCTCTTCTGTCAATGTAGGAAGCAGCTACAGCGCAACAGCCCCCCAGGTGGAGGGGAGCTGGAGGGGGCATTTGGGAGGTTCTTGAGGGGTATGTGTGTACTGGGAGGGAGTATTTGGGGGTACTGGAGGGGGTACTTGCAGCGGGGGTACCCACTGGACGTGGGGGGGAGTGTTGCTTTCTGTCATGGTGTCAAAGTCCATCCCTACCATGGCTGCTGGGGGGTCAGGGTGGACAAGAGGGGCAATTTGCCTCAGGCCACTCATTTGAGAGGGTCCCCAAAATGACAGAGGCATGGCTGGACCCCATTTGAGTGAGCAGTGATGCAGCCTGATGCATGGGGTCGCATTGCCACTCAGGTTTGGCGCCTGTCAACAATAATACGAGGAACAATTTGCCTGCCCCCGCTGGGCCCAGATACCACCATGGCCACTGCTGGCATCATTGTACCAAGCCTGAGGCAACCCACAGGCTGAGAACCTGGAGGAAGAAGCAGGGTGAGGGATATTGCCACGACTAGCAGCAGGGCCAGAGCTCAGGAAGAGGTGGAACCAGGAGCAGCTGCCAGGCTGCATGCAGGGCAGAACCTCCGCATCCCTGTGGGGAAGACAGAAACTCCATAGGCCTGGATCCTCTCTGATCATGCACCCCTTCCCCAACTCCTAATCCCCACAGGGAGGCCAGAGATCACACAGGCCTCAGCTGTCTCTGATCCCCCAGCCCCTCCTTTCTTCTTAAACTTTTGTCTCCACTATAATGTTTTTGGG